AAAAAAAAACAAAATGACAACAAAAAAAACCACCCCTGTCTTCCCCTGCTTCATCCCAGGAGCTACCACTAGACCAGATCAAAGACCAGGGCAGCTGTTGGGTCATGGTGGGTCATGTTGGGCTATGAAGTTTCAACTTCACTCTCTCCATAAGGATTCACTCAAGATTTTGAGCAAGAACAGAGAAGAATAGGGAGAGTTGTGACGATAAAGACTAGGAGAGGGTTGAGGCAGAAAACAATTACCAGTCAGGACATCGCTGAAGCCTGAGGTGACAGACTGTACTGGCTCCCTTCACGATTCTCCTGAGGACAGTCTCATGTGTTCTTTCTCTCCAGCCCTCCCACCGTGCTCCTCCCCGTTCACTCTCTGCTGAGGACTTGTCCACATTTTGTGGAGAAATTTTTTATTATTTTTTTAAAGAAGGAAGAAACCATTATGCTAAATGAAATACGGCAGAGAAAGATAAATACCACATGATCTCACTCATCTAGGGGAAATAATGAACAACATAAACTGATGAACAGGAACAGATCCAGAGACAGAGAAGCGTCCATCAGACTGTCAAACCTCAGAGGGAAGGTAGAGGAGGGTGGGAGTAAGGGGGAGAGATCAACCAAAGGACTTGTATGCATGCATATAAGCCTAACCAATGGACACAGACACCAGGGAAGTGAGGGCATGAGTTGGGGGAAGAGGGTTAATGGAGGGACGAGGACACATATGTAATATCTTAATCAATAAATAAATTTAAAAAAAATAAAAAAGAAAGAAACCAATGGCAATGCCTCATCTTCTCACCTGGAACCTCCCTCCTGCTGCACTGGAGGGTGTGCCCGATCCTACCGTGTTTCCCCGAAAATAAGACCTACTTACATGTTTCCTTCTGAGTGAAATATAAGGCATCCCCCCAAAAATAAGGCCCCCCTTAGGCTCTGTCTCAGAATGCTATTGCTAAACATGAGAGATTTGGTCCACTGATTCTGAAAGAAATGGAGTCACAAGAAATTCACCAGGAAATACAGAAATTGGATTGTTATGATGATGTTCCAGAAGATGATGACATGATTGGTCACTGAATAAGTGAGTAAATTCTTGATACTGTAGAATTCACAGTTTTTCTGATTTGTGTTGACAACTACCATACTACCGTACCATATACAGGTAATAAATTTCCTTTATTTTCATTTAACAATAAATGTGTACCGTATTCTTCTTCATGGAAAAATAAGACATCCCCTGAAAATAAGACCTAGTGCATCTTTGGGAGCAAAAATTAATATAAGACACTGTCTTATATATGCCTGCTGCGCCCCCTGGAGGCTTGCAGAGTAAAGTACAAGCAGAGACCTCAGGCCTGCCTCCTCTATGCCCAGGTCCCACCCCACTGATCAGGCAGGACTCACCCATGCAAACACAGACAGCTTTAGGAATGGCACCCTAACTCCCACCCCAAAAGAGGTCTGCATCTGAATTCCATGAATCTGTGAATGCTACCTTACTTAGGAAAACCGGTCTTAGCAGATGTAATTAACTAAGGCTCTTGAAGAGGTCTAAGGGGATGGGGGGAGGAGAGAGGGGGAGGGAAGAGAGGGGTTCAAATCCAATGAAGTGTCTTCATAAGGGAGCCCCAGGGGAGTTGGGACAGAGGCAGAGATGAAGGGATGCAGCTGCAAACCGAGACCCACAGCCACTGGAAGCTAACAATTTCCAGAGACTCTGGAGGGAGTGCGGCCCTCCTGACACCCTGATTTCGGGCTCTGTCCCCCGGAGCTGTGAGGGAATAAATCCCCAGTGTTTTACTGCCCAATGTGTGACCATCTGTATGGAAAATAACAAGGAGAGTGAATGGGGAGGAGCGTGGTTGGAGGGTTGGAGAGAAAGAACGCATGAGACCCTCCTCAGAGGAATAGCAGTCCCAGGAAAATGACAGGGCTATATTTTTGTCCTGATGACAGTTTTATTCCCATGTAAAGGTTCAAAACCCTGATGCTAATTTAAATCACAAAATCGCGTCAGGATTCAGTGTGTCCAATTCCAAGTGTGCCCAATTCCAAGTAATAGGAAAGTCCATTCAGACCTAAGGCTTCTCACCGCTTTCAGCTTTACCATTCCTCCCTCCGTACCCCCCTCCGCCCTCCCTCCCACCCAGCTGACCCCTCCTCCTCACCCTTTTCCTCACGGGCCACCTGCTCATTCTCCTCGTTCTGGGGCTGGAGCAGGAGCAGGGAAGTGCTAACTTGACTAACGCTGTTATAAACCGGTTTTGCTCTGTCCAGTCTGGATGGTGTTTGAGGATGACTTTCCCTCGGACCACAGCAGATTTAACGTGGCTTTTGATCCTGAGCAATTTCGAATCTTGACTCCGGATCTGACAGCATCAGACTCCCAGCCACACAGAAGTCTGAGGGAATTCCTGAGACAGTGAAACTGATGGAGAATCGCAGCTCCTTCGCAGCGGCCTTTCCTACAGTTGCCAGGACCACCTTGACTCTCGGTCTCAATCGTCCATGGTCAACTCTAGCGAAATGAAGCCACACACAAAGTACTGACCTCTGCCCAGCTTTGCACCATCTCCTAGCCATGGACTTACTCTAATCATGCCCTCTGCCAGGTGAACCTATCCTACATGTAGCACAGGTCAAAGTCAAAGAGGGTGGTCACTGTCACAGTTCACAGTTTAAATGACCGCCTTTAACATCACTGAAAATGTCTATTCTTTTTTTTAATATATTTTATTGATTTTTCACAGAGAGGAAGGGAGAAGGATAGAGAGCTAGAAACATCAATGAGAGAGATACATAGACCAGCTGCCTCCTGCACACTCCCCATCAGGGATGTGCCCGCAACCAATGCACATGCCCTTAACCGGAATCGAACCTGGGACCTTTCAGTCCGCAGACTGACGCTCCATCCACGGAGCCAAACCGGTTTGGCTGAAAATGTCTATTCTAATTACCTTCCCTAAACGGCGTGGTGATGCCCCGATCCTATGCTCTCCTCACCCATCTCAGGTGTGGCACCTGAAGAATGAGGGGAGGTCAACCTTTCCCAGATCTTCTCATTCAGCATCTGTGTGTCGCTCAGGAAACAAGGAACCAAGGCAAACTGTCTGGAAGCCACTTGAAGAGAATGGTTTCCTCGGCCAGTGTTACCTGCCTCTGTGCCTCAGGCACAAGTCCCACCGGCCTGCTGGGCTCTGGAGAAATGCTTTATGCCGGGCGACTTCCGGAGAACCACTCTGAAAAGCCAGCTAGAGAGCAGCCTGGGACCAAGAAACACACCCTGCGCGGTGGCCCCGGGACTGCAGAGCGTGAGTGCCGGGTTCTCCAAGGACATTGCAGGGCCCACCTCCTGAGCTCTCCGCCCCCGAATCCCAGGCCCTTCACCTCTCGGGCCATGGTCTGCGTCCAGATTTCACTTTCTAGACCAGTGGTCGGCAAACTCATTAGTCAGCAGAGCCAAATATCAACAGTATGACGATTGAAATTTCTTTTGAGAGCCAAATTTTTTAAACTTTTTCTAATGCCACTTCTTCCAAATAGACTCGCCCAGGCTGTGGTATCTTGTAGAAGAGCCACACTCAAGGAGCCAAAGAGCCGCATGTGGCTCGCAAACATCCTAGATCATCCTAGAACCTCCTAGATCTCTTCACTTGTCTCACGAAATCTCTAGGAACCTAATCCATAGCACACTCACCTACCTACAAACACCCTTTTGTTTCTCAGCTCCTTAGAGAGCACACCATTTGCTTTTTCCCCTGGGGAGAACTGATCAATATAGGATATAACGTAAAATTCCACTACGGATTTTCCTGGAGGAATCAGATTTTGCCCAAAATAATTGTGGTTCCCGAGACCTAGTTTCTCCCCAATTTCTCTCAAAACAAGACCTGCTGCTGTTGCTGCCCCAGCCAATACCCCCAAAACCTCCTCCAGCCCCTCCCAGGGTGAGTTCTACCCCCCTACCTTCACTGGGTGCACCTCCCTTTTGCATGGCTGGTACCTTCTCAGCTCTCAGGTCCCAGCTCCTGTGCCCTACCCATGAGGCCTTCCCAGCCTTTCTTCAAGGACAGTTCCCTAATAGTATTTTTTGAAACTCTTGTTTGCTTCAGAGAAGTTACACAATTTAAAACATTTTGTGTCTCTCCCACCTCATAATGTATGCTGAGCCTCTGTCCTGGGGATGACAAGTATCTACAGGAAGAGCTTCTTGTTAACAAGCTCCGTCAAACACAAAGTAGGGTGGCTAACCGCGTTCCCGCTTTCTTGCAGTGAATGTCTTAAACCTCAAAGAAGCATGGGCTCTGGGACAGTGCGGGAAGAGCCCTCTGCAGAACGGAAGGACAACACAGCATTGTGGGAGACGCTCCATTTCCCAATTAGACAAAACCGGAAACAGGTGAGCTGCTACCTGTAGTCCTGGGGATGATAATGATGGTGATGGTGGTGGCTTATCATGTGCCAGGATTTCATATATTTATATCTGATCTTCAAAACTACTCTGCAAGATGGGGACTATTATATTATAAATGCACATGATACACATGAGCAATCTACAACTCCAGAGACCTAAGGTCACTCTGTCTCAGATAATTAGACAAATGTCACACTAACATTTTTAGTCTCATTCTTTCAAAAGATTTAGTTAGGATGTTTTCCACAGAACCCATTAAAATACACATTCGCACACACACACACACACCTGACACACATGCACGCACACCCCTCAATTTCTCCTACCACCCCTGCCCCCACACTGGAGCAGTAAGAGGTCACCAAAATCATGTTGAAATCAATGATAGATTTATTGGCTTTCTTCGTTACACATAGGCTGAGGACATCTCGATACAGAACTTTGGAAGCCTTGTTTCTGTTTTGACTTCCCGCTGTGTGGAAGCCCAGGGACAGGCGCAGGCTGACAGTGGACAACAGCACTGCCACTGGTTCACTTTCACAATGATTCATCCCACAGGCTCAGGGAACTTCCTGTCTTCCCTTTCACAGCATCTTCCGCTTTTCAAACTCCTTCGGAGACAGAAGAAAGAAAAAAGATAAAAGATCCAAATTACATTCATGATCAAAGTGATATGAAAGCTTTTCAGGATTCTTTGAACAACCAAAAATTACAGAAGTAAAGGGTCCCGGGATGAGGTACTTGACTACAAAATAGCAGCTCTCAAATTAGTCTGCGTCAGCCTCCATTTCACTGAGCTGGAGGCAAAGCTTCAGTTTTACGTCTCCCAGACGTGTAGGCAAGAGGCTGTGAATTATACTTATTTCTCCAGGGCAGAGTTGTTATTAGGAGCTGACAAACCTGGTTGAGCTTCCCCAGACTTTCAAAGCAATACATGAACCACACTGGCCCTTCTCATAAGGCAATGGAAATTGGTTTCACAGAATCAGTTAAGATTTGAACAAAAGATCAAGAAGATTTTTAACAAGAGATCAAGAAAATCAAAAATATCTGTGAGGAAAACAGTTCCAAGAATCACATTTCCTAGCCTGGAAATTCAGAGATGCCTGCTGCCACTTACTGGAGTGAAGTGGTAATGCATGTCCCCAATGTGAATGTTTAAGCACTTGTTTTTCCCCTTCCCCTCTTTTAAAACTCTGTTTTCACACTCTAATAACCCAGATTTCCTTAAACGCTGTGGCATACAGTTACAGTGTCGTATTTCAAAAGGAAGGATTATGCTTTTGGAATAAAATAAGGGATCCATTTTATTATCCCTAAAACAAGGGTAAGATTGCACTGTCCCCTCTTGAGAATACAATTTGGGCCTGTGTCCTGTTTATAAAGTTTGATGTTTCTTTGCTTTTTGTTAAGGCTATAATCATCATAAAAAACTGAGAGCCTTAAATAATCACGCAAAGCAACAGGTTGAGAATCATTACAAAGGAATTATTGAAGATAACAAATCTTAGAATACTTTAAACCACAATGTCCTATTAAAAAGAGAAATGTATCCGGCTGGTATCGCTCAGTGGTTGAGTGTCGACCCATGAACCAGGAGGTCACTGTTCGATTTGGATGAGGGCACATGCCAGGGTTGCAGGCTTAGCTCCCAGTAGGGGGCATACAGAGGCAGATGATCAATGTTTCTCTCTCCTATCCTTCTCTCCCTCTCCCTTCTTTCTAAATTCAATAAAAACACATTTTTAAAAATCTTTTTTTAAAAGGGGGGAAAGAAAAGCAAATGTGTAAGAACTCACCCTCCAACCTGTAACAATAATGACCTCCCATCCCAACCGGGGCCAGAAACTAAAGGCTGGGACCCGAACTCTTTTCTTTAAATCTCCTTCCACCCCAACTCCCTCTTTTCCAGCTTTAATTCCTTGTTACTCAGCCGTCACTGGAAACAGAAAACTGTGGGATCAGGTAGCTGTACCCAAAGGCCCTCCAGGGGAAGGAAAAACAAAAAACATAAGGCATTTTTTGCACTGCTTCTAAAAATGGAATTTGTGGTGTTTATGGACTACAAAATGCTTTCCTGTGGATTATATCCTGCCACTCACAGAAGAGCAAATCCCAATGGTTAATTAAAAAAAAAAAAATATTTCAATCAGAACATCATTCCTGGTCTTGCCCGTGTAAGACATGAGGACACAGAGAGAGTTGCCAGGGACTGCTGAGCTGCGCACAGAAGGAATACACAGATCAGACCCAGAAGGCCGTGGTTTCTGGGTGCCCCGCGGGCCCGCGCCAAGGCCGGTGCGGACAGCTCACCTTGTAGATGGTGTTTCCCAGCTGCGCAGGCGACATGCTGACCACGACCCCCGCACTCTGAAGGGCAGAGATCTTCTCCTTCGCGCCACCTTTTCCTCCAGCAATAATGGCGCCGGCATGACCCATTCTCCTGCCGGGAGGAGCCGTTAAGCCAGCAATGAAGGACACCACAGGCTTGGCTTTGGGGCCCTGAAAGGTGACATTTCAAACATCTCATGAAGAAGCTGATCAACATCGAACATCAATTTCAACACAATGGGTGAGTGGCGTGGCCTCCTTCATCCTCACCGAGGAAACCACACCAAACGTTAAGCTGTGAGTGAGACCACTGCTCTCCCACCTGTGGCGACTCAACTTCTCAGACAAACTCAGGAACAACCCGAGCAAACTTTTTACCTGATGAGATATTAAGCTTCCACTTCGCTGTACCAACTACTGTACTAATACATACAAAAAAAGAGCACTTAAAAATACATATCATGTGATTTGTGATAGTAATTAAAACAAACTATCAGCCTGTTTTATTTCAACCTGCTTTTGTCTTGATCCCTTTAGAATTCACCCTTAATAGACCTGCGGAAATAGAGATGAGGCGGGAAGTTACGCAGACGTGCCCAGTGCTGACACGTTTTGTCCTCTAGCAGCACGTCACACCCAGCGTCAGCTCTGACCTCATCGGGAAAGTCTTCAGGAGTGATGACAAGAGTGAAAGCGTAAAAACAGATGCCCTTCACGTGCACAATGGTAGACATAAGTTTTCCAAAATACTAGCATTCACTTGAAAGCTCAAACTGTGCCATTGGCAACAAATATGAGGAGCCGTTTTGCCTGACATGGCAGGTTGACTTTGTTTGTTTTGAGACAAGGTCAGTCAAATACCTAAGTGTGGTTAACCACGTTGTCTGCCAGTTTTTCCAGGTAAAACTGGTGAAAAGGCAGCCAGTTCAGCTCACAGGTTAGTGGGAAAGTGCTTTACTTCCCATTCATCACAAACTGACTCCAGGGCTAAGATTTAATTTAATTAAATTAACGATTTTTACTGCTTTATAAGGACGTTCTTCGATAAAATTGGCTTTTTGTTTCTTTTTGTCTCCCTGGAGTGTCTAGCAGTGAACGATGACCAGGCAGTCTGCGTGCAGGCCCTAAGCCGGGCTGAGGTGCCAGCAGGCCAGGTTCCACCAGGTCTGAGCCTGCTAACTCCAGCCCGGCCCCCACCACTCTTCCTGCTCAGAAATTCCAGCCGCTGCGCCTCTGTCCTGCTGAGGACGTCTCCATCGTCCTCGGGTTTTCAGCAAATTTCTTCTTAACTTTTAAGACTTCTCAAGCCTTTCGGATGCCTCTTCCCACACTCTCTATAGATGCCCTTCAGTCAGTCATCTTCTGCCCCAAGGCCCTGCTGTGCCAGTCACAGGCTTCTACTCACACTCAGCATTCTGGCGGTAACCTATGTCTACGTGTTCCCCTATGGACCTGTGAAGACCCCTGAACACAGGGACTATGTCCTCACTTAAAAAAGATTCACAGTCGCCGAAGCCGGTTTGGCTCAGTGATAGAGCATCGGTCTGCGGACTGAAGGGTCCCAGGTTCGATTCCGACCAAGGGCATGTACATTGGTTGCCGGCACATCCCCAGTAGGGGGTGTGCAGGAGGCAGCTGGTTGATGTTTTTCTCTCATCGACATTTCTAGCTCTCTATCTCTCTCCCTTCCTCTCTGTAAAAAATCAATAAAATATATTTAAAAAAAAAAAAAAAAAGATTCACAGTCATTTATTCATTCACTCATGAGCTCTGCAGAGGTTATGAGCATCTCACACGAGTGGCACTAACTCCACTTAATTCCTATGTTCCTATACTCAAACAGTGGAATAGTCCTAGCTGGTGTGGCTCAATGGATAGAGCATCAGCCTGTGGACTGAAGGGTCCCAGGTTCAAGTCTGGTCAAGGGTACATGCCTAGGTTGCCAGCTTGATCCCCAGGGAGGGACATGCAGGAGGCATGATGATTCAATGATTCTCTCTCATTATTGATGTTTCTATCTCTCTTTTCCTCTCCCTTCCTCTCTGAAATCAATAAAGATATTTTTTTAAGGTGGAAAAAAAAATAGTGGAACACTGCACTAGAAAGGAACAAGATGATGATGAGACTAAAATGCCAAACAAGTTTACACTCCATTCTATTAACAAAGAAAAGAAACTGGAGATTTTTGCAGAGAAAAATACAATTGACAGACTTTGGGGGAACTGTGATCTGAAAATAGGATGCAGAAATGATAACAAAAGTGAAAGCATAGAAACAGAAGGGCCTGTTAGGAAGCTTTCAGTGGAATCTGAGAAGACACAGAGGACTGCTGACTCCTGCCCCCAGTCCCTGAAATCTGACCCTTGCCGCTCCATGGCCTGAGGGAGAAGGAGGGAGACCTGGGTTTAAGTCATTAACCTCCAGGGGCCAGTTTCCTCACTCATACACAAGGACACAGGGTCAAGATAAAGGTTAAGCAATACTACTTTTGCAAATAATTACTGTCATTGTAACAATGAAAAAAATAGTTGTGGCAGCAGACACCATTATTGAAAGTTCGCTCTGCTCTGTGCCAAGTATTGTGCTAAATGCTGTGCATATCAATTCAACTGGCCACCTAGCGTCTTGTACACAGCAGGTCCTCAATAAAAATCAGCTCTGTAAGAACTAGCCAGGAAATGAAAGGCATGTCCAAATGAAACAAAACGTGTATGTTTAGTTTTGCCCATAAACACCTACCCTATTCAAGGGATTCAGAGTTGTGCCTAAGTACATTTTAAAATTCACTTTAACAAAGTGTAATGTTATAGTAATCTAAATCTTTTTCTTAAAAAAAGTCAATTTTTACCTACATTTCAAACTTTATACTTTTCTGAATTCAAGAGATTCTAATACATCTTACGCCAATCTATTTTATTCAACATGTGTTGATGCCTCCTGTGCCAAGGACTGGACTGGGCACCAAGGATACCAGTTCCCTACTGTCCAAAACAGTCTGGAGTGACAGCCAGATGGTATGCATGCCTCGCAGAAGGCATAAGCAAAGGCAGGTGGGAGTGAAAACAACTGACACGTCAGATGGGGCATGGTTCTGAAAAGGAAGGGTGGAGGGATGTGAGAGGCTCGAAATCTGGCCTCTATCCTGATGTAATAAGAAACTAATCGTTTAGCCTAGACCGGTTTGGCTCAATGGATAGAGCGTCGGCTTGGGGACTGAAGGGTCCCGGGTTCGATTCGGTCAAGGGCATGTACCTTGGTTGCGGGCAGATCCCCAGTGGGGGGTGTGCAAGAGGCAGCTGATCGATGACTCTCTCTCATCGATGTTTCTAACTCTCTATCTCTCTCCTTTCCTCTCTGTACAAAATCAATAAAATATTATTAAAAAAAAAAAAACACTAATGGTTTAGAGCCAGGAGGATGGAGGCACTGATGTCTGCGTTTCTGAAGGGCAGACAATTTGGTGGCGACAAGAAAGATGGCCTGAGAGGGGCGAGAATAAAGGAGTAGATTATTAAGAATAAATTATCAACATAGGCCAGGAGAAAGAAAATGAGGGCCAGAACCAGGTCAGAAGAACTTATTATAGACGAGAGTCCGAATCTCCACATATTGAAACAGACATTAGGAACTGAGTGGAAACGAGAGATGAGAGATATAAGATGGTTCTGAGGTTTCTGTCTTGAAGCTGCATGAAAACATGATGTTGATGATATGCAATAACCACTCACACTTAAGCAAACAGGCATAGAAAGTAACTCCAAGGAACATAAAGAAGAGAAGGACCTGGAGAAAAACCAGGAAGATGGAGAAGATTAAGAATGTATGGAGGCCATTGGTGACCTCTGCAGAAGCAATGTCAGGAGAATAAGATTCAGCAGCAACAGCAAACAGCTCAATAAGAGTGCCTACTACATGCCTGGTGCAACTCTGCTATATGTTCCTAAAACATTTAAACCCCACAATCCTTACAATTATGCTAGGAGGTAGGCACTGCTGGAGTCCTATTTGCCAAGGGAAAACAGGCATGGTGAAGTATCACGCCTAAGGTCACACTGATTCTAAGTAGCAGACAGATTCCAGGGAGCTGAGAATTAGTGGGTGAATAAAAAGGAGAGAGATCCAGAAAGGGAGGGGAGAGTTGTTACATCTCCTACTGAGATCAGAGCTTTAAATCACTACAGAGTGGTGGGCACATGGTAATTCTTGTAACATAGAAACCCATTATGTTCATGTTAACCAATTCACTTCAATAAATTTCTTCTTTTTTTTTTTTTTTTTAATCACCACAGCCCTAGGCAGTTTGGCTCAGTGGATAGAGCATCCACCTGAGGTCTGAAGGGTCCTGGGTATGATTCTGGTCAAGGACATGTCCCTGAATTGTAGGCTCAATTCCTGGCCCTGGTCGGGGCTCATGTGGGAGGCAACCAGTCGATGTGTCTCTCTCACATCAATGTTCCTCTTTGTCTCTTTTCTTCCCTTCCACTCTCTCTAAAAATTAATAAAAAATATTAAAATAAATATAATAATAAGGTAAATAAAGGCCAACTCAGAAAGGTTTGATTTTATCTTTTGTGTTTTCTTGAAAACTTAATCTTTATAGAAATAAAAAAGCTTCTAAAACAAGCCAATGGTATTATTCAAGAGCAAAGAGGTATATTTTTCCAAAGCCAAACTCACTGAGTTATGTTGCTTCAAAAATTCCGCAGCGTTTTCTTCTGCATTACCACCAATTTCACCAATCAGGATGATGCCTTCTGTGGCTGGGTCATTCAGAAAGACTTCCAGGCAGTCAATAAAATCTGTTCCATTAAAAGGATCACCTCCAATGCCTGAAAAGATCAATGAACATCAATAGCATGAAAATTAGGTTGAGAAATGTTATTTCAATTTCTTTTCCTATTTTGTCTACCCCACTCACCAATATTTTCAAGGTGTCATTAAACATTTTTTTTTAATCACCTAATGGTGCACTTAGTTGTTTCTAATATTACATGAACCCTAAATGACTGCTGGATTCTGATACAAAGAAAAACCTCTTTTTGTTTTAGCTCCTTCATCAATCCTCTTTCCTCCCACAAATGGATGCTTAGATAACTGTTTCAAAATGAGCATTTAAAGAAAATGTATGTTTGTGTTACAAGCGAGAATGTCTTTTAACATTTAACAAATGTCTTAGCACAAAGTAAGTATGGGCGAGGCAGTTTCAGAGACCACTCCCAGGTGTTAAGACACAAGCCAGTGAAGGACAGGTGAAGGGGGCTCTGGCACCTTTCCTTCCCTCAGCTCCAGAGTGGGCAATGACAGAGATACACGGAGGGGCTCTGCTCCACGTTCATGGCATCTGAAGAACAAGTACTTGGATAGAACTAAAGGCAATGTTCCTCACAGATTAGATGCCACCTTTTTTTAAAGTTATGAACTCACTGAAGGCAGGACTGATTTCCTACCTGTAGTGCATCTCGGAAGGATGAGGTTCAGGAAGTGAAGCATTTGTGAGTGATAACATGTGTCAACGACTGTCTCAGTACACGTCAGACCTGCCGTCTCCTAATACTTCCAACCTCTCTGTGATGTAGGCCCAGTTAGTCTCAATTTACAAATTAAAACAGAAGGTGGAGAAGATGAAATTGGCAACTGTTTCAAAACCTTTTTTGTTGTAAATCCTTATCCCAGGATATTTTTTCCTTTGCATTTTAGAGAGAGTAGAAGTGAGTGAGGAAAGGGAGAGACAGAATAATCGATGTGAGAGAGACACATCGATTGGGTGCCTCCTACACGTGCCCCAAACAGGGCTAGGGATCGAACCTGCAACCTAGGAACTTGCCCTTGACTGGGAATCAAATCCATGACCCTTCCACACATGGACCATAAGCTAGCCATCAGCCAGGCCTCAAAACCCCTCTTATTCTCCATGAGACTAAGTTACCTAGGATCCAAGATTGTGCTTCATACACAGAAAAGCCATGTTTCCTATACTAGTTTATGGATTTGAGTCTTCATAAAAACACTCCCTGGCCATATTTTATAATTTTTATTATAAAAAGCTATTTTTAAAAGGTTTTTAAAAGCTATTCTAAGAATTTGAAAGAATATTTATGAAAATAAGAAATTTGCCTGGTCTTTGGCAACAAATACCAAAATAATTTTAAAGTCTAAATTCCTTTTTTCTTTCACCAGTGGGAAGCAGAATGATGCAGCAAAAAGAGCAATTCTGGGGAGTTCAACCTAGACTTTCTCACCAACTTTCAGCTCAGAGGTACTTTAGAAAGTTGCCTTAAGAATCAGTAATGGCTCTGGCCAGGTAGCTCAGTTGATCAGAACGTGTACCCGTGTACCCGTCAGGACATATACCGTATTTTCTGGCGTATAATACGACGGGCGTATAAGACGACCCCCTAATTTTTCAGTTAAAACATAGGTTTAGACCTATATTTGCTGTATAAGACTACCCCCCATTTGCGAGGCAACACCAGTTCTTTTTTTAATAGACCGTCTCTCTGACTCTGGCCAATCCGAGCAGGCTTTTTATGCATGCAAATTATACATGTTCTGTACACGAAGCTACACTGTGTTCTAGTAAAAAGCCTGCTCAGATTGGCCTGAGTCAGAGAGATGGTCTATTAAAAAAAGAACTGGCGTTGCCTCGGAAGCGGGGGGTAGTCTTATACAGCGAATATAGGCCTAGACCTATGTTTTAAATGTTAAATTAGGGGGTCGTCTTATACGCCAGAAAATACGGTACCTAGGTTGTAGATTCAATCCCCAGTTGGAGTGCATACCAGAGGCAACCAACTGATACTTCTCTCTCACACATCAATGTTTCTCTCTCTCTAAAATCAACACAAAAACATGTCCTTACATATCCTTAAAACAAACAAACAAACAAAAGAAAAACAACAGATAATAAATGGCAAAGAATTCAGTTAACTGTGAAGCACTGAATTACTAGTATATAAGTTATAATATTAGCAAATAATAACTATAACAACAAAAGCCCTAATATGAAGGACTTCTTGTTCACAGTAAGCACAGTAAGTGATGTTTTCAGGCACCAAACCTCTCCCGGAGCCACATGTCTAAGAATGCTTGTGATCAGTGTGGAATCTTAGAATATGAATCTTGAAAAACACAGTAGGACTTCACATTTATGCAAATAAAATTTGAGATAAAATAATATTTTTAATAAAATGGTATAAAAATCTCTTGCAAATAGTCAAAACAACAGTTATATCATACTCATTCAATGAAAATAAATTTCAATGAAATGATTTTAGCACAAATCCCTCACCAATGCACAAAGACTGCCCCAGTCCAACTTGTGTTGTTTGGTGAACTGCTTCATAAGTCAGGGTGCCAGATCTGGACACAATACCTTAAAGAAAGAGAATTCAAAAATATCAGATTGTGTTCACATGACAGACTATCACAGAATAAACTAAATTACAAATATTAGTACATATAAAATCCACTCCATGATTTGTCATCCAAATCAACAATATCTTCAAGTAATGAAATAAGAAGAAAAGGCTTAAATTAAAACAGGGAGGTTTTAAAAGTTATAGGAGAAAGCACATTATTAGTTGGGGTTATTTTATTACCTATAAAAACAATGTAAAAAAGACCTATATTTCCTCTTCTAAGAATCTTTGGGAAAGGGATAATAATATCCATGTAAACTTTGGGGAAACAATTTGCTTAGGGTGGCAGAATATACAGAGTAGACTTATATATACCCAATCTATTAAACTACCAAAACATTCAGTCTTACAAAACTTCCACCAGTCATATTTAGCAGTGCTATCTATTCTTCACACAACTATTTTTCTAATAATTTTCAAACAACACATAGGCTTTCAAGGGAAGTAAGGCCCCAATCCCTGAGTTCAAGTCTACCATGTAAATTCCTCTATACCAGGGACCTGTGTGAAAGGACCTCATTTCACACCTGGACAAGGTGTGCAGATATATGGGGTGGGGCAGTGGCATGTAGACCATCTTCTCTTGACTGAGCTACAGAAAAGGTAATTTGTTTCATGCCACAATCTGTAAATAAAGAGTGGATCCTTAATTTTAATAAGTTGAGAAGTATAAATGAATGACTTCAGTTGTTAGAACACATGATATAAAAATGTTTTTTTAAATAAAACAACAAACTTATACGGGCTAAATCAGCACATGACTTCTGGGTGGTATCCATGGTTTGCTTTCTTTAAACTTCTACTTTGGAGCACTTTTTACGAACTTAGAAGATTCATTTCTAACAATAAAATCTCCCTACCACGGCAAGTAAGACAGTAAAGATGTCTATACTTCCCAAACTGACATATAGATTTAATACAATTCCTATCAAAATCCCAATAAGAATCTGTCTAGATACAGAGAAAATCTTTCTAAAATTAATATAGAAAAGTAAAGAACCTAGAATAGCTTAAAAACTTAAAAAAAAAAAAGTGCAAAAGTATCAGTCTATCTAATTTCAGGACATTATTGTATCTACAGTAACCAAGATTGTGGGGTATGTTCTGGTATTAAATAAGCACATGAGTCAATGAACAGAAGAGAGAACCAGAAACAGACCAATACCAATATATCACTGATTCTTGACATAAATGCAAAAGCAATTAATGAAAGAAATACTTTTCTTTTTAAAAAAAAATTTTTTATTGATTTCAGAGAGGAAGGAAGAGGGAGAGAGGTAATGAGAAGCATGGATGGGCTGCCTCCTACACATCCTACACTGGGGATCAAGCCCAAACCCAGGTATGTGTCCTGATCAGGAATCAAATTGTGACCTCCTGGATCATAGGTCAGTGTTCAACCACTGAGCAATGCTGGCTGGGCAGAAGAAATATTTTTTTCAACAAATGATGCTAGAACAATTGTAACTCCATAGGCATTAAAATAAAAACTTTTGATCTAAGTCTCACATCTTATGAAAAATTTAATTGAAATTGAATCACGGATTTAAATGTAAAATAAAAAGATAGGAATCTTGCTAGGCAAAAAGTTCTTAGAGTTGACATCAAAAGAACACTTCACAAAAGAAAAATAAATAAATTAAACTTCTTCAAAATAAAAAACATTTGCTCTCTGAAAGATGACGAAAGAGAATGAAAACACAAGCTACAAAGTGGGAGAAAATATTTGCAAACCACATATCCTAAAAGTGTTAGTATCTAGAATAAAGAGCTCTCAAACTTAACAGTAAAAAAGCAAATAATCCAATTAGAACATGAACCAAAAAAAACACAGATGAAGACACATTTCACTAAAGATATATATTAGTAGGTGGTAAGCACATGAAATATAAATTAAATTCACTATGAGATAGCATTCAACAATTATCAGAATGGCTAAAATAAAAAATAGTAATCCACAAATGCTGGCTAGGAGATGGATTACGCATGTGTTACTGATGGAAATGTAAAATGCTATGGCCAAATGCTATAGAAATGTGGCAGTTTCTTAACAAACACACACACAAACATGCAAGTATTATACTATCATACAAACCAGTAAATGCACTCCTAAGCATCCAAAAGAAATGAAAACTTATGTACATACAAAAACCAGGACACAAATGTTCACTTGTTTGTTAGAAGCTTTATTAATAATTATAAGATTATTAATAACTAGAATTTTCGTGCACTCAGGGTAGGGGGGGTGTCCCTCAACTTGGTCTGCACCCTCTCGCAGTCCGGGACCCCTTGGGGGATGTCCACCTGCTGGCTTAGGCCCCCTCTCTGGGGGATTGAGCTTAAGTTAGCAGTCAGACATCCCTCTGGCAACCCAGGAGCCCTTGGGGGATGCGGGCTTAAGCCACAGCTGGACAACCTTAGCACTGCTGAGGAGGTGGAGACGTTCCTGCCACCGCCGCTGCACTTGCAGCTGTCGACCCAGCTTGTACCTGAGCTAAGCTCCCCTTGAGGGAGTGCACTGACTACCAGGGGGGCAGCTCCTGCATTGAGCATCTGCCCCCTGGTGTTCAGTGCATGTCATTGCAACTGGTCGTTCCACAGTTAGGGTCAATTTGCATATTACCCTTTGATTATATAGGAGGATAGTACCAAAGTGGAAACTGAGACATCTTTCAAAAGATGAATGGTCAAACTAATTGTGATATATTTATGCCATGGAACACTGCTCAACAATAAAAAGGAATAAACCACTGATACATTCAGCAACCTGGTTGAATCTCCAGAGAATTACACTGAGTGTAAATTCTAAAAATGAAATATAAATTAAATTCACTAAATCCTAAAGTGCATACTATATGATCCCATTTATAAAGCATTTCTGAAATGACAAAATTATATAAACTTTGAACACATTTTAGTTACTAAGAATTGAGAAAGGGGTGGGAGCAGGAAGGAAATAGTGTAGCTACAAAAAGGCAACATGAGGGATCTCTGGGGTGATGGGAACATCCTTTATCTTGACTGTATCAATGTCAATATCCTGGTTGTGACCTTTTCCAGGGTTTTTGCAAGCTGTTACAATTGGGGGAAACTAGATAAAGGGTACACTGAAATCTGTCTATATTATTTCTGGCAACTATATGTAAATTGAAAATTATCCTATCTAATAAAGAGGGAATATGCTAATTGACTGTCAAACCCCCACAAAGATGGTGGCGCCCACAGCCAATAAGGAGGGAATATGTTAATTGACTTCCAATGCCCTCAAAGACAGCAGCTCTCACAGCCACAAGATGGTGGTGCCCAGTCCCCTCAGCCCCACTGGGGCGGCAGGTGCGCCGCACAGCCAGGCCCACCCCCAGGCGGGTCCAGTCATGCCACACACCTGCCTCTGAAGTCCCCCAGTCCTCTCAGCTGGGGGCAAGCCTCGGATATTGGCTGCCCAGCCAAAACCCAAAGTGCAGGCAAGCCTCAGATGGTGGCTGCCCAGCCACCCAGGGCCACCCGAGGTTCAGGTAACTAGGGCCAGCCAAGGCTTGTGCTGCCAGCAGTGGCAGCAGCAGAGATTTGAGTAGGGTGTTGCCTTCCCCTGATTACCGGGTTGCCTCCTGCCCGTAAGGGCTCCCAGACTGTGAGAGGGGGCAAGCCAAGCTGAGGGACACCCCCTCCAGTTCATGAATTTTCATGCACCGGGCCTCTAGTCTAAATATAAAAAGTGCAATTAAAATAAACTTTGTAAAAAGGATGGGAGGGTCAAGTATGTCATGTATGATTGAAAGTAAAAATAATGTCTACCATAAGAGAACTAAAAACCCTAGCGCAGTTAAATATCAATTTGGAATCCAATCACTTCAGTAAATTCAATTAGCTGATACTTTTAATAACTCACTAACACAAACTGTAAAGTCACTATAGTATTTCACTGCTATTGTATTACATTACAATGTCCCAAAAATACCTAAGGGACTAAATGATCCTTTCCCTAAACTCTTAGTTTAAGGATCTTAAGAGAATAAGGCTTCTGAGGACATTAGCTTTGGTATCAAAATAGAAATAGTCAGTGCATATAATCATCTTTTCTCTCTTCACCTCCTCAAAAATCTTGTAGTATCACATACTTTCTTTTAGGTGAATTTGTTTTAAAGTCCTTTTTCTCAAAGGAATTAAAAGCAATTAAAAGCAATGTTCCAGAGGATTGCCTCATCCTTGTGTTATGGTCATTCAGAGCACCAACATCTACAGGATTTCCCTTAACTTCTCAGTTTTTTTGGTTTTTAAGTTTATGGGCATGAAGACAAGCAAGTTAGAGATCAGAAAGACAACTCCTTCTTCTATGATTACCTCATTTCTTTAGCAGTAGCCATTCAAAGCAGACCAAAGAGCACAAAAAATACTCAAATATGACAAGAGGATCAGTGTCTTAATGAGTCAGGCCCCCACTACAACTCAGATAGTCTAGAACAGTGGTCGGCAAACTCATATTAGTCAACAGAGCCAAATATCAACAGTACAACGATAGAAATTTCTTTTGAGAGCCACATTTTTTAAACTCAAACTTCTTCTAACGCCACTTCTTCAAAATAGACTTTCCCAGGCCATGGTATTTTGTGGAAGGGCCACACTCAAGGGGCCAAAGAACCACATGTGGCTCTCGAGCTGCAGTTTGCCGACCACGGGTCTAGGGCATTCCCACAGCAAGTACCCTACTGGCATCAGGCTGCCTAGATGAGACAGTAGTAATAAAGGAAAATTATGGCCTTTAACCTAGTCCTGTAAACTACAAAACTGACATTCACTTACTATGTTGATTATTCTTATAATTATTAATAGTCATTGCTTATAAATTACTGTAACCATTAATTACTGTACAGAAACAGTACAGATTAGTGAGAGTTAGGTGTGAAGAGTATAATAACAGGCATAACAGACTTTGAGATGTTAATTTCGTTATGACCTTGAGAACTAAACAACTAACAGTACAATTTTCCCGAAACATTTTGAGAAAGTTTGTGATATCCAAGAAGGCAAAGTAATTATAGGACAGGTCACAGAAGAATAACAATAAAAATATTCACCTATGTCTGACAAAGAATTTCTATCCAGGATATTTATAGAACCCACATGATCAACAATAAAAATATAATCCAATAATAATGTGCAAAAACCGTAAACAAGTAATTCACAAATGAAGATATATAAATAGCAAATATGCACATTCTACCTCATTAGTCACCAGCGAAACTCAAAACCACAATGAGACACCATTTCACTCCCAGTAGAATGGCTAAAATTAAAGACTGAAGTTATGGAACAACTGGAATGCTCCAACACTGACAGTAGGAAGGTAAAAATGAACAGCCACTTTATAGAATTACTTCACAATTTCTTAAAAAAGTGAACATACTTCAACCCTATAACTTAGCAATTCCATTCCTAGCGATCTTACCCAAGAGAAATGAAACTGTGTCCATAAGAAGACCTCTACATAAACATTCACTTTAGCTTTGTTTATAATGTCTCAAACCCGGAAACAACCCAAATGTTCATCAATGGGAGAATAAACAAATTCAGATATAATTACATAACAGAATATTAGTTAGCAATAAAACAAAATTAACTATTGATACATCCAAGAATCCAAGGCATCTGAGCAGGAAAAGAATCGTTTAAAATACCCCTAAAATATCTTCATTGATTATATAGAATCATTACAACTTCTCAAACTCATTTAATTCAGAATGCAGAACTGATTCACTACAAAACTTTCCTGCCAATTAAAATGAATTTAACTTACACAGACAACAAATTCTCTTTGTTAAGTTCTGAGCTTAGGACAAAGAATTTTTTCTGAATCTATAAAAAAACATACTCACCAATTCTTCCTTTCTTGTGAATATGGCCAGGCATGATACCAATTTTACATTCTCCAGGCTAAAGAAAAGGAAATCATAGTTTCAGAAAAGTGAAAAACAAAATGGTGACTCCTAGGTCATCCAAAGGTAATGAGCCTTGTGAGGCTAAAGCCCGGCTTCTTCTTTCGTTCACTCACATTGATGACTCCGGGGCAGTTTGGCCCGATCAGCCTTGTCTTTCCCTGGCGCAGTATTTTGTGTTTGACCCGTACCATGTCCTGCTGTGGGATACCTTCAGTGATGCACACGACCAAGGGCATTTCCGCCTCAATAGCCTCGTCAATGGCAGCAGCGGCGAACGGAGGAGGGACATATATGACAGAAGCTGTGGCTCCTGTCTGTGCTTTGGCCTGAAACATTAAACACAGAGCGCTTCATTGTTGGTTAAGTCATAACCATTGGAAAACGAATTCAATGCCATGAATTTAATAATGTCTTGGGATCATAAAAGGACACGACCAGGAACATAGTATGTCCTCCTGACCCCTTGGAATGCCACTAGATTTAAGACATCCCTCGGAGACATCCCCCAGACAATGGCTTATCAGAAAACCTGAAAGCATGGCCTGATTTGCATCTGTGTCCCTCATTCCTATGGCCATGTTTATTTCTGTTGCTTATAAGACATTGTACCACCTGTTCAGTACCAAAGACCCTATACCTTCTCAGGAGAAAAAGGACTATTGAGGCCCTGGCCTCGGAACTAGACTCTCAAACATATTTTTAAAAATACAGTATAATTGCCCTGGCTGGTTAGTCCAGCTGGTTAGAGCATCATCACAATACGTCAAAAGTGTGGCTTCAATGCCCGGTCAGGCCACATATAAGAATCAATCAGTGAATCATAAGTTGAACAACAAATCAATATTCTCTCTCTCAAATCAATCAATCAATTTTAAAAATACATAAGTTACACTTGATAAGTATAAGAGACAGCAAAAGTGAAGTGTTTTTTAGCTGACAATTTTTACTCTAACTGCATGTTTATTCGAAATAAACATGTATAAGTGGCCACAGAATAAGAATGTGTGTGAAAGAAGCATTAGGCATTTTGTACCTTACCCCTCACAATGCAACAAAGCCTTCAAAGACCATCAATTTCGCCCTCCTTCTCTCTGTGGACACAGGGTAGCGCCTGGATTTTATCTACGCTCTGTATATCAAAATGAATGTATCCTTCTTCCCACTTCACGTGTGGCCATGTCTCTTCTGCCATAATGGAAGCTGCTTAAAGATTATCAGTGATTATGACTCTCCAAGAGTAGCAGCACCTATCCTGTGAGAAGGCACTGTACAGGACTCAGGTAAGGCTTCACCACAACCCTTCATGCTTGGACACAGAGGCCAAGGGTATTAAATAACTTGCATGAGGTTACACAGCCAGGATGTGGCAGAGCCAAGATTCAAAACTATGTCTATCTGACCCCAAAGCATCCAGTCTTTTCAGTCACAGCAGGCTACCTCCCTGCAAGTGTTCAAAGGTAACTAGTCACAATTAAGTCAAAACCCTCTGGAAGCGTGTGCCCTGGAACTTTACAATGGATAATACAAATACAAGCTACTAGACGAGGTGCAACTAGAAGAGGACAGAGGTAAAAGACAGTGATGCTCACATCCACAGAGACTCAATCTACCTGAAGGAATTATGAAAACTGCTCCTCCCGTATTTTGAAACTGACAATGACAACCAGACAAACAGAGGAAGCTAACACTGCCTGTTCTGGAGGCAGCCATATTGAATTTAAGGAAAGTAAAAACAAAAAATTAAAGCAAAACCTTTAAATGATTCTTCCACTGATCATATTCTTTGTAACTTTTTTTAACTCTCAAAAATACAATACACTTAAAGCACACACACATATAGTACACCCTATTTTCAAATTTAAAGTAAAATAAAAAATTCAAATTTGAATGATAACTTCATTTTTTCCTACATCTTAGGATTCAAAGTACAAATTAACTTCCACTTTGAAGTTAGTATACTGAAAAGAAATTGTCTACAAATCTGTACTTTAAAAAACATAATACTTCAATGGTACACATATAACACCTTAATAAAAAAATGGAAAAAATTTTAAGAAATGTAATACTTAAAATATGCCCTAACAGAAAGGGGGAGCAGTATATAATTTTTGTCATTAATACATCACTCCACAGTACTGAGTTTATTTCCAAGATATTTTTAAATATATTTTTTATTAAATTATTATTTTTGTACATATACCAATGCCCCCCCCTCTTGGAAATATATTTCCAAGATATTTTTAATTAAATATTCAAGAATTTGTACTACCATTTCATTTTTTTTCTTTTTTCTTGAATTTACTGGGAGTGACACTGGTTAATAAAATTATATAGGTTTCAGGTATACAATTCTATAATACGTCATCTGTATATTGTACTGTGTTTCACCGCAAGTCAAGTCTCCTTCCATCACCATTTATCCTCTTTACTCTTTTCTACATCCCCTCATTCCCATTTCTCTTAAAATACTATTATTTTTGTATATATCATGTAAGTGTACAAAAGAACTACAATGGCTTAAATTAGCTTTCTATAAAGGCAAAAATTTAACTTTACAAACCTTTATGTCATTTGAATTTGTACAATAAACACATTTTCATCTTGTAACAAAGTAAAAATCATTTTTAAAATTAAGAAATTAGCAATTTGGGGAAGACATTATAACTCTGTGACTTGTCAATGTGGCACAACAGCTCAGTTTTTCACACGGGAACAGCACACTACTCTGATCCATGCTAAGCCTGCCACTTATCAGCTGCGAGACTTTGGGCTGGACCCTTAACCTCGCTGCACTAGTAATATCCTTGTCTTTAAAATGGAGAGGATAACAGCACTACCTCAGAGTGAGGCCTGAATGTGACACTGTATGTGAAGCTAGTATAGTGCCTGGCAAATGGCCCATGACCAGTAAGTGTTAGGGCTGATGCCGGCATGTGCACTACTAACACCCTGGAAGGAGAAAGGATAGAAAGGGTAACAAGCCAAACAGAAGCCAGCCCCAGCACTCTTCCCCTAGGAGCAGATGTGTGCCCGTAAACAGAAGTGACACAGGCTGTGGAGAAAACATCCTGAACATGTGTGACTCATGTGAACCCACTGGTTTTCACTGTGGTTTAAATTTCTCTAGGTTACTGGATTGTAAAATGGCACATGACTCTCTCAAAAGGGGCACAATTAAGATTTCTCATTCCTCCCTGCTTTTCTTTTTTTTTAATCCTATATAATAGTAATATGCAAATCGACTGAACGGCAGAATGACCTGTCGCTATGACACGAACTGACCACCAGGGGGCAGATGCTCAATGCAGGAGCTGCCCCCTGGTGGTCACTGCGTTCCCATAAAGGGAGCTCCACTCAGCCAGAAGCTGGGCTCACAGTTGGCGGTGGCAGGAGCCTCTCCCACCTCAGCGGCAGCACTAAGGATGTCCAACTGCCGCTTAGGCCCGATCCCCACAGTGCGCGGGCCTAAGCTGTCAGTCAGATATCCTCCGAGGGCTCCTGGACTGTGAAAGGGCACAGGCCGGGCTGAGGGACTCCCCTCACGAGTGCACGAATGTTGTGCACTGGGCCTCTAGTATAAATATATTTATTGGTTTCGGAGAGGAAGGGAGAGGAAGAGAGAAATAGAAACATCAACAATGAGAGAGAACCATTGGTCGGCTACCTCCTGCATGCCCCCCACTGGGGATCAAGCCCACAACCCGGGCATGTGCCCTGACCAGGAACTGAACTGTGACCGCTTGGTTCATAGGTCGATATCAACCTTTGAGCCATGCCGGCTAGACACTCCTCGCTTTTGTTTTCTTGCCACACCACACCCAGGTACCACTGATTACCTCCTTTACAGTATTAAAGACCGGTAAGCCCAGGTGCATCTTGCCTCCTTTCCCTGGAGTGGTTCCTCCCACGAGTTTGGTGCCATACTCCAATGCCTGCTGGCTGTGAAAGGTGCCCTGAGGGGAGAAAGCACAGGATTCTGAGAAGGGGCAGGCTGGGAAGCCAAAGGCAATCTTCAGCAACATGGAAAAGAAAAACAAACAAGTAAACTACTCAGATAACAGTAGCAAATATCCAGCATTCTCACCAACTAACTACACAACTTTAAACCCGGAAGCAAATAGGACTTTGCAGAGCCAAAAAAGCTGTTTGTAAAAAAAAAAAAAAAAAAAAAGGGTGTGTGTGTGTGTGTGTGTGTGTGTGTGTGTGTGTAAATAAAAAGAGGGTCTCTTTTTATTCTGTTTTCAAATTTGGCTGGGAGTCAGAAATACAGTATTTCCTCAGCACCTCTTTGTCACTATTCCTCAGCTCCTGGGGTCCTCACACCCCTCTTTACTCAAGTTAAGACCCATGATCAATCATTACACTCACATGGCAACCTTGGCTCTCCGTCACTTCAATTACACATCTGGCTAAATCACAACCTTCATCGAATCCAATTCTCTACCTACTCTAAGATGGCACATGCGCAGCCAAACAGTAGCTGAAGAAAAAACAAACCATGACAATTGATCTCACTTTAGATTTATGGTCACTAACTGCCCAGACAATATCTGTATTTTCTATCCATCCGCTCTCCCTTCTCAACCTCGACGCAACTGACATTTTAGACACATTGATTCTTTGTTATGGGAGATTGTCCTCTGCTTTGTATCATGTTTAGCAGCATCCCAGGCCTCCACTTGGCAGATGCCAGTAACACACCCTCTTCCCCTCAACAACCAGTTGTGACAACCAAAAATGCCTCCAGACACTGACCCATTCTTTCTCACTAGGCCTCTGGGGCTCTACCTCCCCTGGTTTCCCTCGTCTCACTCTCTCCTTAGACTTCTCTTTTTCATCTACATGTGTGCCCTTGGTGATCTCCTTCCTTATCATGGCAATAAACATCTATACGGTGACCCCTCTCCCATACACACAGACAGAGCCCCCCCCCTTTTCTCGCCCCCCCCCCCACACACACACTCACACATATGAAGCCCAGACCTTTGCCTTAAATTCCATACTCACACTGTCAACTGCCTGGCTAACATCTCCACTTAGAGAATTGGTAGGCGTCTTAACTTAAAGAGCTCAAAACTGAGTCCCTGATCGCTCCCTTTCACAATCTACCCATCTCAGTTAGTGACAACTCCACTCCTAACAGTTGTTCAGACAAAAAATACTGAAGTCATCTTTGATTCTTCTCTTTCTCTTACATCTCCCATCAGATACATTAGGGAAGCATACTGCCCTACTTTCAAGATAAAACTGACATCTCACCCTTTCTATAGCTTCCGCCTTGGTCTAAGTTACCATCAACTTTTGACCAAGTATTGCCCTTGCTCCCTTTCAATCTATGCTCAACACAGCAGCCAGTGATCCTGTTAAAACACAAGGAAGGTCATGTCACTCCTCTATTCAAACCTCCCGGTGGTTTTCCATGTCATTCACAGGAAAAGCCAAACTCTTACACTGGCCTCCAAGTCAGTATCCAACCTGCCTCCCCATCTCAGAGCCCTTACCTGCCTGCCTCATTCACTGTTCTCCCACTGCTTATTGCACTTGTCACAGCGGCCCCGCAGCATCCACACACACCAGGCACATTCCCGCCTCACAGCCTCGCGGTCCCTTCCACGGCTTCGCTGGCCTCCACTCAGCAGTGCCAGCACCTCCTCCCCAGCAACATACTGCTCTTACACATCCACCTGCTTCACTCACATCTCATTTAGATCTGGATTCAGAGGTCAGGCTTCCCCTGACCACATGATATTAACCTCCTCCCTCCACCCCCCTTTCCAATCACAACCATTACTCCACAATCTTGCACACATTCCTCCTGCTCTGGTTTCTTTTTCCCATAGCATTTATTCTTTCTAACATATCACATAACTTACTCATGGATTTTGTTAATGTCTTTCCTTTCCTGCAACTAAAATGTAAATTCCATGAAGGCAGTGATTTCTATCCTTTTTGCTCACTGTTATTATGGCACCTAAACCAATACTTTACATACAGAAGGCTCTCAGTTTTTCAACAAGTTGAAAAATGTGTGGATCTATTTGGTATTTCCACAAGAATTAAAAAATGCTGACTCAACTATTTAAATACTATTAAATGCATAAAAATTAGGGCCTTCAAGGGACCTAAACATTTCCTAATTCAACTATTCCATTTTTCAAACTAGGAAGCTTAGCCCCTAGCAAGTGAACTGACTTGTCTAAAGTCAGTGACGGAGTTTTGGAAAGAACCACAGTTCTCTCTTTAGAGCCGCGCTAGTTAAAGTATATAGACTTGCCGAAACCAGTTTGGCTCAGTGGATAGAGTGCCGGTCTGCGGACTGAAGGGTGCCAGGTTCAATTCCAGTCAAGGGCATGTACCTTGGTTGTGGGCACATCCCCAGTAGGGGGTGTGCAAGAGGCAGCTGATTGATGACTCTCTCTCATCGATGTTTCTAACTCTGTGTCCCTCTCTTTTCCTCTTTGTAAAAAATCAATAAAAATAAATAAATATATATATATATATATATATATATATATATATATATATACACACACACACACACACACACACACATACACACACACACATATATAAAAAAAAAGTATATAGACTCCTTCTGGTCTGCAGTCACACACACACACACACACACACACACACACACACACACACGAAAATGACAAAAAAAGGAAGTCAGGAAGAAAGGAAAAAAAATCTAACTTTTAAAAAGAGAGAACATCTGCAAATTTTACAGCAATATGCTGCTGTGGTTTTTCTTGTATTTTGCAAAGGTATTAATCTACATTAGAATGGCAAGTAAAAACAAACACAACCTGGACTTCCATTCCTAATGTAGTCTAAACTAATGTAGTGCTAAACAGGAGTAGCATTTCCTGTTAGTAAGCTGATTTTCCTTAGCTTTCCCATTATCGTTAGCCAGTGCACAGTTAAGAACTGGAATATTTTTAGGAGCCATCTAAGCCGGTATAAGGAATTCCATCCTTAGAAACCTGCACTTTTGGAATCCACTCTGAAACAATAAAGAGCTATTAAGACAAAATGCAGATTTCCTATGAAGATAAGCTCTATGCTTCAGACCTCATCATTACCAATATTAACATCTTAACCAAGAAATCTAACTGAAGTAGAAACAATGTAATTGCAGGTCACCAACCTTAGATTTCAATATTTAGGCAAACTATCACCTAATTAGAGACAGTTCCAAATAGTCCTTACACCATGGATAATGTAAGAAAATAGGTCTGAGGTTAAACGTCATAAGATCATATAAAATTTAGCAAAATTATATGCAATAAACATATGTGGAGAACTGGGGTTTATCAAACATTTGGTTATATGCTAACAAAATTAATAATAATCAAAAAGGGACTGCATATGGCTTTCACTGACAGGGGATGCAAACTAACATGTACTTCAATTCTTAGATGAGCATCAACTTTATTTAGAATGTAGGAGTGATACTCATAAAATATATGGCTATCTTTTCCTATAAGAAAAATCTCAAAGTTTTGTAGGTGTTTCTTTTTGTTAGTAGTGGCTTTCTTTCTTTTCTTTTTTTTTAAGATAGTGGAGAAAGAGAAAAAAAAGTAAGTTCATTGTAATTCATATTTTTGTGCACAGCTATTTCAGAAACAAGTCAAAAAGCAGAGGGACATTTTATATAAAACAACCTTCAAGTCAAATTCTTTTTTTAAAAAAAAGGACTATATAATTTTAAAGTAATTTCTAAGTACTTTAAAAACAAAAGTTACAGAAATTGAATTTTTTGGTGGCATCCTCTCTCTAGATCGGGCCTTCAATTAAGTTGTACTGACATATAACCATGCCCATTCACTGACAAGTGTCTATGGTGGCTTTTGCTGTTATAATGCCATTGAGTGGCTGTAACAGAGCCAGCATGCCCCACCAAGCCTAACAGGTTAACAACCTGGCCTTTTACAGAATAAGCTTGCCAACTCCTACTCTAGATTACCAAAATGCTGCAGAATGGGCATGACAATTATTTTAATTACAGAAAAATCAATAGCATTTAAATTATATATATATATATATATATATATATATATATATATATATATATATATATATCATTATCTGCTTTTATCTTGTCATTTACTTTGAGTTAAGACACAATCATCTAATTGATTTGGTAGTATGCCCTCATTAAAAAAAAAAAATCTGTGCATCTACCATGGTGCAACTACAAATTTGTACAAGTGTTTTAAAGGGCAATTTAGCAGTAGCTGTTGAAATTTTTAATACATAGAAACTTTGACACCCAAAATTAATTTTGAGAATATATTTTATTGACATACTAGTGGCATGGTGCACGGATTCGTGCATTGAAAGAAAACTAATTAGGAGAAAGATTCATGCGGTAATTACATTACTGCAAAAAAATTACATGTCAAAATAGTATATATAATATAGTATTATAAAATTAAAATACAAAATATTTTAATATCGCTATTTGCTCTCTATTATAAAAGTATCAGAGATGAAAATTAGTAAAATGTATATGAAAATATTAATATATAAACTGACTAACAATAACATGATATAAAAACAAAAACATGATATAAAAATAAAAAATGATATAAAAACAACATTGATAAAAACAATGATTGGTAAATTGATTAATAAATAAACAACATGATAAAACAACAAAGCCATGATATAAAAACAACAAAAACATGATATAGAAAACAACATTGATAAAAACAATGACTGATAAATTGATTAAACTTATTCTAATATCTCCCTGTACACCACTTTAAGACTAAAAACACTGTCAGAGTGCTTGACTAATTTCCCTTGTGATAAAGTATTTACAACTTTAACGTCACATGCTCTTCGAACTCGAGAGAAAGCAACATATAACTGACCATGTGCGAAAATGGGTTCAGGTAGGAATATTACTACTCTGACTAGAGTTTGTCCTTGTGACTTATTAATAGTCATCACAAATGCTGTCATCACGGTAAACTGCCTTCGAATTAATTTAAATGGGAGGCCTGTGTCAGATGGAGACAAATCAATTCTTGTAATCAGAACCACCTCTTCTGCAGATCCTGTTAATACTTTAGTTTTGATTATGCTAGGTCACAATCTTTTGATAATAACTCTAGTACCATTACAAAGACCCCATTTACTATTAAGATTTTTCAGTAGCATGATGATTGCACCTACTTTCAATTTTAATTTATGACACAGCATTCCTGAAGGAGTAATTTTATTAAGAAATTCGATGGGAAAATTTTCCTTTTTGGCATCATCCCTTTGAACATTTTCCATTTTCCATACAATGGACTATTTGGATTTTGTATTCCACATGGTCCGTGTACCAATTTGATTTCACAGAAAAAGTCGAGAACGCTGGTCTTTAGCCAGAATTCCGCCTTAACTATACAGTCATTGTCATCTTCCATTCATAATTTGGATTCACTGTTTAATAACAATAATATATGTGCGTGAGGCAGTCTGCATTTCTGAAATTCAATGGTATGAATTTTAGCCATTACTTTGTCAAATAAATCGAATTTATATATATCACTTAAAAGAGCATTCAACTTAATATTAAAAACCCTGGTACACTGTCCCAATAGTTGGTCTTTAGATACATTATGGCATTGTGTGCGATTGGTGCCAGGGAGAGCTTTATATACATATAAAGTATCATGCATGCACAAGTCAACATTTATTTTTATTTATTTTTTAAATATATTTTATTGATTTTTTACAGAGAAGAAGAGAGGGATAGAGAGTTAGAAACATCGATGAGAGAGAAACACTGATCAGCTGCCTCTTGCACAACCTCCAATGGGGATGTGCCCGCAACCAAGGTACATGACCTTGACCGGAATCGAACCTGGGACCTTTCAGTCTGCAGGCCGATGCTCTATCCACTAAGCCAAATCGGTTTTGGCTCAACATTTATTTTTAAATTGCCAGTGCATGTCATATGTACCAGCCTGTCAGTCAGTCAGTTGAACTGGTCAGATGAACGGTAGGTCACTTAGCCTTTTATATATATATATATATATATATATATATATATAGATAGATAGATAGATAGATAGATAGATAGATAGATATAGATAGATAGATATTTGTATGATCTAAATTATAGACCGTATAATGTGTTTTAAGATATGTATGTATTATATAGTATATAATACTGTACATATTGTAAAATAAACTCTGTAGAATGCACATTATATAAGTATACATATGAGCAAGAAAAATATCTGGAAGGACACATTCAACTTATTAACAGAAGGAATTCCAGGAGAGAAGAATGATGGAAAGAGAGAAAGGAGATTCTAACATTGTATTTTATTGTGGAGTCACATTGCAGATATATTTAAATGTATGCAAATTCTATAATGTAGGCAGGGGACAGGGAGAGAGAATAAATATAAATGAATGAGAACAAATTCAAATGTTTCCAGCAATTCTTCCTGTTAGTCTCCTCCAAGACCATTGCACAGAGAGAACATAAAATGGGAGAAGTCATTGTGCTGCTAACTCAGCCTGCCTCAGACCCAAGAGCCTCTCTGGGCTGGCACACTTCCCCACACTGACTACAGAGCCATGTTTAACTGGGTATTACTTTTGTACAAGACTTAAACACAAGCCGCCTACTTTACCTACTGCTTACTTAAGGAAATTGTGATCTGTCCCAGTGCTGGAGGAAAACCAGTAGTGTTACACTTGCTGAAGGAGAACAGGTGGGTTTCCAACATAATATAATCCCAGGAGGAATTTTCAAGGAAAGATTAAATATAATTTTCATCTTTAACTTCCTCCTAAGATACAACTTTATTGTTGTACTGTGTTTCTTTTCTGCAACAATCATGTATTATAACTTTTGTTGTATTAAAAACACAGAAAGTTATGAAAAATGTTTTGCATCTATAGTATACATCTTTTTAAAAAAAAATCTTGAAACCTACCTGCTTACCAGTGAAACCCTGACAAATAACCTTTGTATTTTTATCAACGTAGAGATGTTTCCGGGAAGCTAGATAGGCACAATGCCGAATTCCATTCTGTTGCACTGAAAAATAAAGCAAGTATGACACATTATAATTTTTCCAAACTTCTGGACCAACAATTGAACTTTGTGACAAAAAAAAAAAAAAAAAAAAAAAAAAAAAAAAAAAATTCCCCTAATGCAGGAGTTATCTTGTGATCACAGTAATTATAAATTCACATTTTAGATCTGATAAACAATCAAAAAAAAAAAAAAGGCACTGTTCTGTTTTCCAGAATTCCCCTTCACTGAGAACCTATCTTATAGCTTTTTCTAAGCTGACAAAGAAAAGCTCAAGTTTATAATTTTCAGTCCTCAAAAGAAAACAAGCAGAAAGATAAATGGCTCAAACTAAATCCAGGGACTGAAATCCAGGTATCTCTCCCACTAATAATGTTTACTAGACAGCCACATGTTTCCCCATGGGTCCCAACTTTGTTAAGCCCAAAATCTATAAACATCAGGTGAGATAAGAGTAAAACTTTGTCAGAACTCTATAGCTCATTCCCCAATAATAATACTAACATGAAATGTTAACATTAAATATTAACATCAAATGCTAAGTTTTAGGATAAAACTTATCTAAAATAGAATACAATGTTAAATCATAGACTTAAACATCTAAAATAATCCAAAGTTACTTCATTTAAACTCTTCGTATATAACACTCAAGACCTTACATTAAAAAAAAAAAAAAAAAAGAGAGAGAGAGAGAGAAAATAAAATAGAAAAAGTAGATGTGGGAGAAACATTTTTTAAAAAGTTATTTTTAGCAACCTACGTATCTCAACACAAACTGAGAAACCGATGTAGTTACTAAAGTCAACTCCCCATATTTCAGAAACCAACAGAAAGCAGAGATCAGATGAATTAAAATTGTGGACTACTTCTGACATCCTTTAAACCCCCATTAGAGCCCCAAACTACTGTCTCTGTGGCCCTTGGTCCTTTCAAAGTGCTTGGGTATCCACCTACAACTGAGGTACTCGAGAAGAAAGAACATCTTATCACGCCAGGTTCCACGCCATGCTTTTGTCTTGAATCACTGTCTCATACCTCTTCTAAATCCTCAGACCTTAGGTTCCATATCTTATCTGCTTCTGGCCCCCTGAGTCATCTCAACTCCTATGCTGAGCACAACTTCTAACTCTAAATTCTGGAGTCCCATCAACCTCCAGATGAGAGACAGGCCCATGTCTCCCTACCAGCCGGGAAAAGAGTCTTCTGTGTGCACACAGAGCTGGATAACAAACAGCTGCATTCTTGAACTAGATTATGCTGAGCAAAGGGCCATGAGGGAGCACTGAGGGTCAAGTCCTGGCATACTGGGCACAGCTAAGCAGCTGAACCAGGGCCAGCAGACACTACAACAGGAATCTGTGTTTAAGAACCCACCCTAGCCAGTGCTGTCACTCAAGACCCATTCTTGTCCTTGGCTGCCAATTCTCCTAGCTGGATACCACAATCCTTATGGAAGAGCTGCACCCTTTCCTCCCCTACTGCTATTCCTGGCAGAATCTGCTCCAGCAGCCCTCAGCTCCCCATCCTGGAATCTCCAATAAATAGTCCATCTATCTGGAATTTTCAGGCAGGAAAATAGATTTGATTAACGATCAAATGATAAAATCAGAATACCTGGAGCCCATACTTGCTAAAAGGAAATATTGGTTTTTGAAAGTAAAGTCTTGTGCTCTACATGTTCTCTTATACCCACTCACTTAGGAAAGGAGACATCAGACAGCTAATGTCTTCTTCTACCGAGGAGGATAATGTTTTCCCCTCTCATCCTGAGAAAAGACAGGTCTGCCTATGTACATAAACATGACCTCAATACCATAACAACTAAGACTACTACCTTCTCTTACTCCATCTCCTACTCGGGACCTTCTAGATATGCTCTATGAAGCTCAGGCTTCATAACACCACATGGCTGGTGCTCATAAAAACTGCTTTGAAAGTGTGATGAATAGCAGCTCCCCTTCCAGTCTCCTAACCCTTTGTTATTGCTCAGCCTGTGCAATGACTCTGCTATTCTATAGCATCTAGTGAAGGGATCTTGGGAGAGCTATCTTGCATACATGTGAGTATGTGTGTACGTATGCATGTGAGTCCCCATTTATTATATCAGCTCAGGCTCCTCAGACCTAGTTTCAGGTAAGCTAGAACTAGCATACTATCACTGTGAGCCAACCCAAAAATATATGTTCAAAGATAAGGAAAGGAAATTCCTGACCATATTTTGTTCTGACAAGAAACCTAGATGATGCCAGACAAGATAATGTTGGATGCTGAAATATCAAGCAATACCCAGTCCCTGGGATTATTATGATTACTCATTTATTCAATCAATATTTGAGGAGTATCTATGCCAAGCCACAATGCTGAGTATTAAGAATTAAGAGCCGAGTAGGAAAATCTTAGCCCTCAAAACAACCCACAATCCATCTGAACTGACATAAAATGGGCCCCAAGTGCACACTGTGAAAAGCACTGTGGTAGGCTCTGGGCATTTGGGGTAAACGCTCCTATCCCAAGTAAATCTGTGGGGGGAGAGAAGTGGGGAGACCCAGGGATAGAGAGAGGATGGGTGTGACTTTTGTTACTTTCTTTACTGCATTGTATCTAAGTAGAATTATTTTCTGGTTAAATTTACATATAGATTATTTTAAGTACCATCTAAATATTTTTAGAACTTCTCACCATAAATCCCTTAGTGTAAGAACCATGTCTTTTTATACACCATGATAAGAGAGTTAAGGAATGGAATCCGCATTGGGGCTACCTCCAAATTGAGCTCTAGGCTGCCAGTAATTCATTCCTAAAATCTGTCACTTGACCTCCCACCTTCTAAAAAAAAAAAAAAAAAAAAAAGTGGTTTGTGTTCCTGGCCATGGCTATAATCCCTCAGGAACTAAAAACTCTGCTCACCTCTGCCCTAGTGCTGGCCCATGTATGCCCTATGTTCTATATTCTGTATGCAAATATTAGTGCCCTATGTTACCTGCCAGGTACTAGGGATTTAGATCCCATGCCATCCAAACCTGCACCTGTACCGTAGGGATAAACTAGTCACAGAAGGTCCTAGGTATGTGGATCAACTGAATGAGAAATGATGGCATGTCAATCAACTGAATGAGAAATGATGGCAAAGTGGCCTCTGAACCCCAGGAAAAAACCTTGAGATGCCCCAGCAAGCCACAATGGTGATTCTACAATCACCATTAGGGTGTTCTACCCTAATGAAATTCTTAGTGTACTAGGTAACATGTAATACCAATGCCACACCCTGTATGAGGATGGGTGTGTGAATTTTGTTACTTTCTTTACTACATTATATCTAAGTAGAATTATTTTCTGGTTAAATTTATATTTAGATTATTTCAAGTGCCATCTAAATAGTTTTAGAACTTCTCACCGTAAATTCCTGGGTATAAGAACCATGTCTTACACACCATGGTAAGTGCAGGTGCTCAGAAAATGTTTGAATTTTAGGACAAAACGCAGGTCTGCAAAGAAACACAATATCAAGCAAAATGTCCTAAGTTCCACCTCTTTTTGTGTGATTTGAAAATATAAAGATCGGAGGTTTCCCTAAAATCCGTAGAGACTACACAGAAATGCAGCCCTAAGTACTATTACCTGTCCTCAACACTGTATCAATACAGTACAAATTCCATTTTCTTTAACAAATGAATTCCAGGAGCAGTCTTATAACACTGAAGAAAGAGCTTAGAGCAAAACATACCACAGGCAGAGTGAAAGCAGTGACAGACCAAGAGCATGTTTTCATAACATGTTGACAAGAGATTAACCTCAGCAACATGAAACACCAATAAGAAGAGACCAAAAGCCTGACAGAACAATGAATCAAGGCCACAAACAAGAAAGACTACTGAAGGCAGAAAAACGTTAAGTCAAATATGAGGAGACACCAGACTTCACTAACATTAAGAAAACGAGCATTTTTAAACTAAACAGCAGGGCGGCAGGAAGGCCTGGGCTGGCCGCCAGGAGGAATTTCCCAACGGCGAAGGCTGCAGCCGCTGCCCTCGGGCCCGCTCCAGGGAAAGTGTTGGAGTCGCCTTCTCTTCAGGCTCTTACAGACTGGCCAGCCTAACCTTGGGACTGAGTCCCAGGAGCAGCTGAGAACACAGCTTCAGGAATCAGACCGACTAAGTGTGTGCTCAGCTGCTCACCAGCCATGTGACCTGGGGGGGAAGTCAGCCTGTTTGCCCCCAACTTCCCTTAGCCTCAGTCTTCCCATCTGTAAATGGAATAACAGCTGCCCACGAGGATGCTGTGATGCTTATATGAGATAATGACTATAACTGGGTAGCAAAATGACTGGTATCCTCCCAAATTGGGTTCACATCTGATGTGAGCACAGATGTAAACCATCTTCTAAATAGAGCATATACTGAATAATTCACATTTTAAAATAAGTCCAACCAGAATGTTTTATATATGTCATGCATTTCCTATAAATGTTTGTATGCAAATATACTAATCCATGTCTATAATGTGTAGGTGCACACATGTATAAACTAATATATGAAAGATTTTGAAGGTGCAGCTGCACTGTAGCAATAATATGATGTGCCTCATGTGCAATTTGGAGAATTCACAACATGTAGAGCATGTAACATAATGCCTAAGGAAAAGTGCATGCTATTTCACTATTAGCTATTTAATGTCATTTTTATTACTAATGCAGAATGAGAAGACCAAACTGCTCTGAGGTGTTTGTTCATTGTGCCAGGTTATCTGCCGGGCACTAGGGGCTCAGGTCCTACCCACATGAAGTCTGTACAAAAACTAAACATTAAGAAACACAAAATTACAAAAATGCAAAACATAACAAAGGCGATGAAGAAAAGGAACTGAGAAATGGGAGAGAGATGTGTTTGCAACAGGGGTTGCAAACTTGTATCAGTCGTCGCCACAAGCTGAGTCCTCTTCCACACAGAGCAACCACATCCTTTACAAAATGGCTGCAAGATTAATGAAGCTATGGCCAAAGAGCA